TCCAGACATGTATGAAGCTTTGATCTTTGAATATTTGCTTGCCTTTTGATGTTCTTTTGAGTAGCTTGATGGGCCGTGTGCGTGTGTGTGTGTGTGTGTCATAAGGCAAGTACTATACTATTGACCCTCCACGTTTGCAACTTTGACTTTTGCAGATTTGATTATTCATAGATTTGATTAATATGTTCTCTCTAGGAATCTCTAGGTCCTCCAGCGCAACTCTGTTGGACATTGACCACAGTGGACGACCTAGAGACTCCTAGAGAAAACACTTCTCTAGGCATTTCTAGCTCCTCCAGTATGATTCTATGGTCAACTTCCAGCAGATGTTGACCATAGAGTTGCACTGGAGGACCTAGAAATTCCTAGGGAAGTGTTCTCTCAGCTTTTAAAAAATGTTTTTTTATTTGTGGTTTTTCCACTTTCATGGGGGTACTGCACCCTTAACCCCAGCAAATGTGGAAGGCCCATTGTAAAACACTTTCCTGGGAGTACACACTATTGAATTTAATAGGATGTATGTCTGAGTAGACCTATGTAAGATTGCACCCTATGCTGTCAATCTGACACCTATTTTCCTGGAATTAAATTTATTAAATGAGGCAGCAAATTAGATGGGATGGAGGCAACACCTGTAAGGACTGAAATAACTACCCAGTCATGTGCCCAATCCAGTGGGTGGTCAAAAAACAGAGAAAGGTCCACAACAGACTGCAGAAATAATCCAGTTTGAGACTACTTTAGCTATCCTGACTCAGTGCTAGGGAATCCTGGCAATTGTAGTTTTTTGTGGTACCAGAGCTCCCTGATAGAGAAGGCTAAATGTCTTACAAAACTACAGTCCCCAGAATTCCCTAGCACTGAGCCAGGGAAGTTAAAGTGGTCTCACACTGGATTATTTCTGCAGTGTGTTTTTGACCATAGGCTGTTTGATTATGCGAATATGTACATGCTTATCAGGAACAACAACAACAAAAACAAAAATACTCCTGCAATTGTGTGACCAGACATAAACCGACACACGGGAAATACATGCACACAATAGAAACATGCTCGCCCCTGTGTCAATGTGACTACCTGATGGTGGGGGGCTGTGTGGCTTTCCTCAAAGTGGCTGATTTCAATTTGGATTAAAACAGGTACGTGTGGCAGTAAAAGGGTCAAACTGGGGCAGGATGCGACATAGTGGATCTGGGATGCAACCCTTATGTCTAGTACTACAGTCCAACAATAACTGGACTGTATGCAGTCTATGCTTCTATGCAATTTCAGAATTGTCCTTCTATGGGGGGAAGCAAATCTACAAAATGTTGGGGGCAAAACAGACAGGCAAAATAAGCAGGTTTCAGGCCGGCTTCAAGGAGGGGGCTTAGATGAAACACACTTTGAAACCATCTAGAAAGCGCCCTCTAGCTGACTTATGGGGAGAAAAGCTGCTTCAAAAAGAAGCAGTTTTTTTCTGCTTCTTCCCAGAAAGTGTGCACCTTCGCATGTATGTATAAATGCACCAATGTTAAGGTCATTAATGGAGTCTCAGGCCCAGGTTCGGTTCATCAGATGGCTTTATTTGCATGCAGTTGGCACAGGGGGGATGAATCCACCAAACTGTGCCTGGCAGTCGGGGTGCAGTCTTTTTATACACTCAACAACTTTCA